AATTTACGGTCATCTTCACAATTAAACCTCGTATCTACTTCTGTGTCAACTCTCTCTTATGGTAATCGTTCCTTTCGCAAAGCTTCTGCCGAACTTTGGAACAGATTACCTTTAAATGTAAAAAACTGTCAAACCGTTAACCTATTCAAAACCAGTCTCAAGACACATTTATTCAAAATTGCGTTTGATGATTGATTAACTCTGTTCCCTTTGATGTGTATTCCATATGTATTGTAATTTGTATGTTTATTTGCATTTTTAGTTTTGTATAAGATGTAATTGTATATCACTCTATTTTGTGTGTATAGCGCTTAGAGACTTCGGTGGTAAGCGCTTTATAAGTAACGTTTTTATTATATTATTATTATTATAAGAGTCAATTTGTAAGAGTTTATTGGTCATAGACATTGACCAATACAGCTCTGAGGAGATATAAACTTGATCTAGATTAAGAATAAATCATATTGCGACAATCATTAATTTTCATGAAAATGGGGTTATTGTTCTAACTTTATAGGCAACAATGCAATAGAGATAACGGTGACATTGATAATAATAATGATGATAAAAACAACAATAATAATGATAATAATAATAACAATAATAATAATAATAATAATAATAATACATATAATAATGATAATAATAATAACAAAATTAAAGCCCAGTAGCAATGCTATATATATGGATCTCCCGTGTACTGCTCCTGTCGTATGTATATTGGCCAAAAAAAAAAAAAAAAAAAAATAACTTGTTTGCCTTTTACACGTGATCTTTGAATGGAGCCGTTATGCAAATTTGATATGCGACGCGGGGGATAATAATAGTAATATAAATTTTACATTCACATCGTGTTTGGTGTGCACGCATACACACAACCCGGAAAGAATCAAGTTTGGAGGGGCGTGACGCCTATTTTATATATTATATGCGGGGAAGACCACGTTGACTTGAATGTAGCAACCTTGTATATTTCACTAAATTGGCTGGTTTTCGGCATTGTAATATCAGTTTATACATGAACCATTACGAATGATACATGCCAACATTTGACATTGGCGTTGACGTTGAGTGTTTCGTCTTGCGTGTATTCAAGCAAGTAGGAGAATGATAAACAGAATTGACTTCCCTTCGAAGTTTGATTTGGTGTAACAGTGTACACGCACATCAGAATACAAGGTAAGGGTATCGAACAGTATTCCTATACCAATAGGCTTAGTACCGTACTGGGGTGGGGGGGGGGGGGGGGGGGGGGGGGGGGGGGGGGGGGTGTTCAAACTTAGACATCTCGATCTAATGTTTGTTTGATTTTTCAAATTTTTCACTTTTATGAAGGTTTGATGCATAGGAAAGTCTCTTTTTCTGTTTCTTTGTTGATTTTGTTCGAGAAGAGGGGGAGGGGGAAGGGTATTCGAATATGCATGGATCCTTCCATTTCAGAGTTTTAGAGTGAAACTCGTATAGATTTACTTGAAGTTTCTGAATTCGCACTCTCTTCATCAAAGTGTTTGACTTGAGCATGCTGGCCTACTTTTCACATTATTATATATAGTAGATACAATTATACAACAAGACAATTATCGTATTCAATTTTCATATGCTATGTTTGTCATTATGATATCATTTATTAAACAAGCATGTACATGTATGTGCATTTTAAACTACTTTCTGCCAAGTGATTAAGGGTCGAAAAATAATGACTGAAATACCCCAAAATGATAACGAAACACTTTCGAGAAAAACATGTAGGTTCAAGAGCGATTTCAATACTGCAGAGCTAATAGAAATTTAGCCTTTGGACAAGGCCTCGCGCGCTGCTTGTCTGCCGAGCAGGGTCTGAAAAAAGACTAACGCAGTGTGGCTTTACAGCAGTGATCGCTGGACCGAGATCACAGTCGTCGCGTGATTAGTCTATGTATTCAGACGCATTTAGTGAGATATTCAATTCAATTCAATTCAGAACTTTATTTCAGACTCAACTACACAAGGCAGAGGTCCATAAAACATATGTTACATATATATATAGGGAGTATAAACATGATGAGTATAATAACAACAAATCTTACAAAGAGTATAACTAAACTATACTAGGCCTACGTACAAACAATCTAAACTGTAAGAGTAACATGATGTAACCTGCCAGGTTGATAACAGCATAACAAACTAACTCTAAGCTGTACCTGTAACTGTAAGATTAAAATAAGTACATGTATAATAATCAATAACAATCTATTGAAGTTGTATCTTGTAACAATCTGTCTCTGTTCAACTAACCAGAACGATAAACTAATAATAGATAACTATTATAAAAAAACAAACGAACAAGGATACTGGAATCCTTGGTAACAGGAACATAATGATCAATTGCCATGTGTCAGCAGGCTATTCAGCCAAAATCTCCAGAGGTCCGATGTGTACCTAAGACAACGAGGGGTTCACTAACATCTTTAAAATACCATTCTCAGACACATCCACTCTCTGGATGAACTTATACATAAGATTTCGTAATACAGCCGAACAGGCTGGAACATTCAACTCAGCAAACATTTGACTAGCACTAAAGTATCTAGGTACCCTAAGAAGCATTCTCATGGCATCATTATAGGCAACAGTAAGCCTGTACAAACTGCTCTTCTTAAAATTACACCACAGATGCGCAGTGTATAGAGGTGTACAGTATGCCCTAACTAAAGCCACCTTCACATCCGGAGAACACATATGAAATTTCCTAACAAGCATATTACCTTGACCATATAATTTACGACACTGTCGACTAATATCTTTATCATCACTGAGATCCTCAGTAAAGAAATGACCAAGATACATGGCCTCTGTACAGACATTGAGTTTAGCTCCACACAAATAAAAATCCGGGAATACCAATCTACGGTGTTCCTTACATCTAATTATCATAACACGACTCTTTTTTGCATTATAATTCACATCATTATCATTTCCATAATGAGAACAAATCTTGAGCAAACTTTGCAACCCATCTAGCCATCATTGTTTGATGGGCATACCAAAACACAAGTATCCTAATCAGGTATTTAGGAATACCTCTTTCAGCCATTTTCGTAAACAGCTTTTCATGATTTATCCGATCAAAAGCTTTTGAAGCATCAAGAAAACAAAGAAACAAGGAAGAATTTTTACTACGATAACTTGCAATGATTTCCTTTAGAGCAAATATACACATGTCAGTGCCATGTTTGGCTTTAAAACCGAACTGGTTATCTTTAGTAAGAATATACATCTCTAACCTACCAAGCAATATCTTTTCCAGCACTTTGGACAGGACACTTGCCAATGCTATAGGTCTAAAGTTGTCCTTACTAGTAATGTGACCAGCTTTATTTTTAATGACTGGCACCAAAACAACGGAAATCATACTATCTGGTAAGATACCATGAATCAAAAAACCCGAAATGCACATTGCAAGCAACGGCATGAGTTTCGGGCTTGCAAACTTTAGATGTTCAGCTGTAATAGTATCAAGACCACATGACTTATTGTCGTCTAATTTTCTGATAGCTTCTTTAACCTCCTCTGGAGAGATAACCATATTTACATCAAAGTCAACATTAGTAACATCCTGCACCGTACTCTGTACACAATTAAACAAATCCTTATAATGATTACACCACAATTCACTTATTTTTTCATCACCAGATATACCTTCAATATTAGTTGGAAGAGGCGCTTTACTATTATTAACACATTTAATTTCTTTCCAAAACTCATAATAACTTTTACCCTGCAATTTACAAGCAACAGAGTCCGCCCGCATAACATTCTCATTATTCTTTATAAAACGGAGAGCATACTTGAATCGTGCATTGGCCCTCTTCTTTAGTTCAAATAACCGTCCCTGTCTGTTTTTTGCCAGCTTCAACCCAGAGTAGGTGAGCCTCACGAGCAGCAGAGTGGAGCTCTGACACATGCTCATTCCAGCCAGGCCTAGTATTATGAACTTTGTTTTTACATTGATATAGAGATTCACTAGCATCACATAAGCATTTCACAATTTCATTATATGCATTACATAAATAATTAGCATGGTCTTTGTTCACACAATTGGAATCTCGGCATAAAAGAGCATCGTCTTCATGCACATAAATTCCTTTAAGCAGTAAATCAGTATCACAGCAATAATTATTCCTACGATCTTTTTCAATCTTAGACCAATCTAGCCTGCCTTTATGTACATTGTTAGCCATGCCTGAATCACGTAGCCCAGGCAAATTGTCAATATCAATTGTCAAATTAATAGGAATATGATCAGTTGAAGCAAATCTATACATAATTTCCATCTTCTGTATAGAGGCATTAGCATCTGCTGTACATATACAATGGTCCAACCATGACGTGGTATGCCATGCTTCACTAACATAAGGGTAACTATGTGCAGGTAAATAATGCAGACTTGATAACACAACATTATTATAACAACAAAATTGGCTCAAATGATTTCCAAATAAAGAACTATTATCAGATATGTCTGCGTTCCAATCACCTACCACATAAACACTGGTGGTGTCCAGCTCAGAAATGACCGCCGCAATAAATGCTATTTTCTCAAGATAATCACTTTCATTTTCCGGACACTCATAAGGAGAGTATATATTAATAATAACAAATTTCTTATTCCCATAATTAATTTCTATACCTACTGCCCAATCTACATCAAGTCTTAACTCACTGATCAAGTGTATATATTTAGTATGCCACAGGATAGCAACACCTCCTGGTATGCGGCCCCGGATCAGTCTATCATTAAGATCAGTTGTGGATTCTCCTATTCCATGATATTGAGGGTGTAAAACATTAATGCCATTCAAGTCCTGTTTAGCCAGCCAAGTTTCCTGTAAGCATATGACATCAAAATTATCCCGGAATAAATGTTCAACTACTAAGCGCCTACTTTTGTCAGCAGCACTCTGTCCTAGGTGTAGACCTCGAGTATTGTAACTAACTAAATTGAAAGTTAATAAATATAGTTAAGACTCCAGCTTATCATCCCCACGATCTGCATTAACTGTGCCAGTAGGCACTGGGGTAGAGTGCTCAAGCTTTCTGAATTTCCGCAGAGACTCTGCACCAGGCAGGGAAGCTTGAAGTTTGCGAGGCTCGTAATACCTCCTCACAAAAACTCCTTCCGGCCACACATCTGGGTCGTACATATCCTCTACATTTTGACAGACTGCTGAGATATGAAAAGACCCAAATCTGGATCTTTCTGTAACAATTTTATTGCAAGTAACAGTGTCATTTATCTTCTCCTGGAGAAAATCTCCTAGTGTGTCGGCATCCAGCTCAGGGTCAAATCTTGTGGCGAATACATTAACAAGCTTTGTTTGCACAGCTTGAATCCGCCCTGAGCTGGCTTTCCCCACAATACCAGGCTTCCTCTTTGGTTGCATTGGAGTATGGAGCACTTGCACTGGCCTAGAAGGATCGCCTCCTACGGGGGGAGTCTTCATATTACCGCCTCGTCGCACCACCTGATTCCAGGGAGTCTGATCAGGACTGTTGGGCTGAGGCTTTGGGGCAGGAGCAGCAGCATCCAACGTAGCACCTAAGCCTGGGAAGTTTATTGACGTTGACCCTGGTGTTTGCGCAACTGCCTTTACTTCTACATCCGTCATTCGAGTGTCCATGATTACAGCCATGTTCTGAAGATTTTCAGCAGCTTTCGCATGGGACTGCACAGACTCCTTCATGTCGGCCATTTCACATTCCAGCTTTAGCAGCCGCCCTAGCAGAGCTGAGACATCTATGTTGTCGAACCCAACAGGAGGTAGCCTGTCCAAATCCTTGGCAACAAAAGTGGGGATCTTGTCACCGCACTCCAATAACAGTTTAATACACGTCTTAATGTTATTTACATCCCTTGATGGGCCTTTATGCGCAACATTCCTCACAGTAACGTGATCATTCATGCTGCTGCAAACATCGAAAAGTACCTTTTTGGACTGCTCTATTTCTTCTGATTTAAAGCAAGTCGACACAAGCTTCACAATCTCATCAGTTGACAAAGTGTTCATTTTATTGGTAACAAAACAGAGAAGTTCATCAACGACTATAACGGATCCGTCAACGGTTTTCAAAACAGCCGGCTTTTTGGCATGCAGTTGCCCACGCACACCATCGTCTCCTCCACCCGCCATATTCAGAATATGATTCAGTGCGAGTGTGACTGAGAGAAGTTTATGCACACATAAAACTCACCTCCGACACCATTGCCACAGACATGTGACAAAGCTAGTAATGAGGTACAAATGAGTGTATTTCAAAAGGGTATTATATAGAACACAAACCAGAAGCGATCGAAAGCTGCTTTCCCAGTTTTACCAGTCACTTGGCCCCAACTTACACAGAGATCAATGTATGGGACAGTACTAAAATATTGCACACAGCATGTCCAAAGCCATCACGACCAAATATCCTTATCAAATCCTTGATAAGAAGAAAAGAAAAATTCCCTCTATATCAAGAATCATGTCCAATTTAACTAACTAAGGCTCAGAAACTCAGCACCCAAGGTCAAAATCATACTCCATCAAATATCAAATAATATGAAGATACAGCACGAGTGCCTTGACTAAAGGCTTATAGAAATTATGTTCGGTTTAGCTCAAAAGCAGGAGAGAAAAAAAAGGCTAGTGAAATAGTCTATTTCTGTAAGTTAATTATCTAGAAGTTATTGCATAAGTGTATTACAAGACATCTGGTTTATAACATTTCAAGTGATACAAATAGAGATCATGTCATTGCCAACAAACTTGTGTAATTCATGTCAAATTCATATTGCCTCAGGAATAATGTTATGCCAGTAGACTTAAAAATATTTGTTTGAATAATCAATTAATTCACTGCTGTTTTTCAAAATAATCTTCACCGAGCTTAAAGTCATTTGATTTGATTTGATTTAATGTATTTACTTATGTGTGATTTTCTTTTTCTTTTGCAGTTTTACAAATATATAACAAACAAATCATTGAACACTTTATACATGACAAATGAGTATATGTAAAACATAGTAAGGTTGACTGGAACTTTAATGTCAAGAATAGGAAAATGCAGATAATACTGAAACTTGTTGATGTTTTGAGTAATGATGACAATAATAATGTCGACTAGGTGTCTACCTAATTCGTATTTATTAATTCAACCATATCAACCCTATATCAATTTAAAACAGTAAATAAAATTATGGTTAGGAACACCGACATTCAAAAGGCTTGTAATTGGTATCCCGAAAGAAGAAAAAGTGAAAAAAGTTAAAGATTGAAAATAAACAAACAAGGCTACATACATTATCACACACAGACACACAAACTCACACACCACATATACACTCACACACACACATGCCTGGGATTTCAATTTTAAAATATAAATAGGGGGGGGGGTCACATATACATTATTTGTCATATACATGTATATTTCCATAACATTTCATTCAATAATATTGACTTGGACAATACTTTACATGTCTTAAGTGATCTACTTGATGTTATGTCTTGTTGGAGTACATTCCATTCCTTCGATCCCTTACTGATAAGGGATTGAAGACCAACTGTAGTTTTGAAAAAAGGAATATAAAGATTATTCCTTTGACGGGTGTTGTATTTGTGTAAATCGGAATTGAATATTAAGTGCTTATATATTCATTATTAATATTTGCTTTTATTAAAACTACTACTACTAATACTACTACTTGTTCAACTGCTGTTCCTACTACTGCTACTGCTACTACTACTACTACTACTAATACTACTACTACAACTATACATATACAACTACTACAGCAACTACTACTAATACTACTACTACATGTTCATAATACCCATTCATTTATTTTGCAAAACAAAACTAGTAGTTTACGAAATAAAACACTGTGGGCATTTCACTTCTATCTCCTTCTTGTTTTCTAAGTTTAACTATATTACAATACTACTAAAACTAGTAGTAACATTAATTAAAGCCGAACTGATTAGATTTAAGGGTATTAAGTATTGGGTCAAAATTAATGTCAGGAGTCATAGAGGTCCATTTTGAAAATGAAGGTATTAGCCTTGTTATTACAATAGGTTTAAGAACTTCTTGAGCTTTGAGCTTCAAACATTGTGGTAGTATTGCCACAGATAGACAAACCATTTGTTTAGCTCACCTGAGCCAAAGTCTCAAGTAAACTATTGCGATCGTTTTTTGTCTGTCGTCTGACGTCCATAAACTTTTTACAATTTTGATTTCTTCTAAAAAATGCATGGCTGGATTTTAATTGAACTTGGTAAGAATCATATTCAGGCATGGGAGATTTTAAGTTGTTCAAATGGGGTGTATGCCCCCAAGGAGGTTTGGGAGAACCAATCCCCCCCCCACCCCCCCCCCCAAAAAAAAAGGTGCACATTGGCATTAATTGCACATGTTCTACGAGGGGGCTTGGAGGCAGCCTTAAATATCCACCATGCTAACAGCAGTGAGAGCACGAAAAGCTTTAAAAAATATGCATGCACGAATCTTGAAAACTGTCAAAAAATAGTTCCAGTTGAATGAAGGATATCTCTTCAAAAGGCCTGGTTACCGTAATTTGTTTAATTTCATATACTGATAGAACATGTATGTAGATATGATTTTATACCAAAATGTTGGTATGGATTTTGACCACATTGTAGGGAAAATTAGGGATCATTTTTATGTGAAGAAGACCCAACTTCAAAGTTCATATGTATACCTGACCCTCAAGGGTACTTGAAAGCAGCACCCTTAAGGTGCCCTACTGTTTCAATAGATGCTATGTCCCTGGTGCAAAGTGGATGGGAGTTAGGTCCCTTATTGCGAGCTCCCTACTGGGAGTAGCACCCCCCCCCCCACAAAACAATCCTTTCTTGTTATATTTTTTGACTTCGTCTCAAACAAAGCATGGCCATATTTTCACCAAACTTGGTAGGAATCATCCTTAGGCAAAGGAGATTAAAGGTGGTTCAAATGGGGTATGCATACTACGTACCCCCTCCAAAAGTTTCTCAGTGCTAAAAATTCGATGTTTACTTCTTGAAAACCCACGGATGGATTCTATCAAAATTAGTAGGAATCACCTACAGGAAAGGGAGATATCAAGTTTTTCAAATTGTGTATATGACTATAGGCCCTCCAGGGGGCTTGGGGTAGCCTTCAATATCCACCAACCAAACAGCACTTCGAGCACGGCAAAATTAACTACTACTTACTACTACTACTACAACCACTAACTAGTTACTCTTACTATTACTTCTACTATAACTAATTATCATACTACTACTACTCTACTTTTTCCCAGTCATTACTTATGCGAAAAAAAAACAACTACATGTACATGTAGGTAGTTTTAAAAATATAACAATGTAGGCTATTCAAACTGACTATTCTCTTTCTCTTGTTTTTTAATTGCACTTTCAGTTGACCATTTTCAATTTTCCATAAAATGCGGTACTGTAAACATGTGGACATTACCAATGCTATGTTTCATTACTTAATGTAGCCCCCCCCCCCCCCCCCACCATTATTTTCTTCCAGATCGTGGCTTGTTCTTGTGACTGAGGCCATTAATTTGCCAAGATGCCTGTATCACTAAGTGAGTGGAGGGTCCGAATCGGAACATTTGTTCATTGGATTAAGGAGTATGAGGTCAAGGAGAGGAGAGAAAGAATGCTTAAAGAAAGGATTCGGAGACTGAAGGTTCTTTGCGAGAGACTTGAAGCGAAAATGGGTGATTCTGGAGAGGAGTCCGAAGATGACAAAATCAGACAAGATGGCCCTGCTCACAAGGGATGTCCTCATAAAACTGTGAACATTCGGTCGTCAGATAACTCATCAGATATCAAGGACTTATTAACTTCATGTGATCAGTGTATACAAGATTTATTAACAGCAAGTGATTCTCATATCAAGGAGATACTCACCCCTTCTGATACATGTATTAAACAATTGCTGACACAAAGGAGAGAGAGATTGCAAAGGATTCGGAGACTGAAGGTTCTTTGCGAGAGACTTGAAGCGAAAATGGGTGATTCGGGAGAGGAGTCCGAAGATGACAAAAGCAGACAAGATGGCCCTGATTCCAAGGGATGTCCTCATAAAACTGCGAACATTCGGTCGTCAGGAAACTCATCAGATACAAAGGATTTACTAACTTCATGTGATCAGTGTATACAAGATTTATTAACAGCAAGTGATTCTCATATCAAGGAGATACTCACCCCTTCTGGTTGTAGCATCAAAGAACTCATTACGTCAAATGACTGTAGCATCAAAAGTACAAACACGTTGAATGGTTCGACTATCAAAGATGTAATCACACCAAACGATTCTGGTATCAAAGATCTAGTTACAACAAATGATTCTAGAATTAAAAATCTGGTCAAGGCGAATAACGACTCTACAATTCAAGATCTAGTCAAGGCAAATGATGATTCTAGAATCCAACATCTACTCACGACAAATTATTCTAGTATCAGGGATCCAATTACACCAAACTACTGTAATATAAAAGATGTAATCGTATCCAAGAACGCTGGCACTAAACCACTTGATACCCAAAATGATTCTAGCACCAAAGAGTTTACTTCGTTAAATGCTTTCAGTATCAAAGATCTCATTACACCAAATGATTCTAGCATCATAGATTTAATAACGTCAGAATATTCTAATGTCAAGGATCTAATCACAGCAAATGATTCAAAAATCGATAATCTACTAAATCCGAAAGAGAACAACATTAAACAGCTAATAAAGCCGGACGATGACTACATTCACGAGCAGCTTGCACACGCTTATGATTATGTAAACACAGTACGTACGCGTCATAGTCTGTCAGACGCTTCCTTGAGGGAGCTACTCACATCCTCCTATCCCTCAACGAAATACCTTCAGACTTCAAATGGTGATTTGAATGCTAATCTCATCATAAAGACTTCTCACATCAAAGACCATGAAACCCAATCAGATGGCTCTGTGAAAGAGCTATCACCTGGTTCAGGAACCACAGTATGCCGACCATTTGCACCATATGATGATTTCCTGGTGGAGCTCCTAAAACCAACTGTGTCTGCAAGCAAAGATCTTCCTTCAATTGACCTACATCATGTGTGGTGCCATGAACCTGACAGACGAAATGAGCCCTTCT